CCAAGTAGATATAGAGGTAGATTAAAATGCAATTGAAATCCTAAGTTTTATACAATTTACTGTAATGAATAAAACAAATAAATTATGACTAATGATACAATAGGTATTCACACGTAAATCGCTTTGTTCAATAGAATTTTGTAACATCCACACGCATTTATGCACCTCGTCACAATAAATACGTCGTATGTCTATGGGTTAAGGGATTCATTTGTAATGACGACAGGACATCGAATTGAGAGTAATATGGGGTGCACATTTATTAATATCGGCTTTCAACAAACTTTTAAGAAAATAGCGTATTCCCTCTTAAGCCTTTGACTGCCGACAGAAAACTGCTGAAGGCAAATCCTCCGCTAACGTAGGTCACCGGTGACCTACGCAGCGGTTAACGTGTTAAAAAGCCGGCAACGCACGTGATCTCTGGTCTTTCGGGTGTCCATGACCGGCGCTCATATGATCCACCTGCTCAGTTGCCTCCTATTCCATAAATAACTTAACAACAGGATTTTGGGAATTCGGTATCTCAACGAATTAAGTAAGGTTCAGTTTTGATTTGCACATTTGGCATTGGCACACAAAGAAGTAACGAATATATGATGCTCATTATATGCAAATGTTTAGGGAGATATATTGAATGAGACGTGCTCATGCTCACCTACTACTACCTATAATTTCCCAAAGCTCAAAAGACACGTACTTTATAGTTACCTCATCTTGTTATTACTTGGTTGAGATGAACTTACAAAATATTGGACAATTCCTAACTCTGTGATGCTACTAAGAATTTTAAAGACGATCCGAGCCCATAAATAGGTTCTTTCCCTGACGCGTGCGCGCATAGTGAATGCATACGTGTTTTATGAAAAACCACAAAGAACGTGTTTTGTGTTAATCATAGTAAAAACTCAAGTCCAGTTACCTACAGTTACCTAAGTTTTGTATTGACAACTAGCTGACCCGGCAAACTTCGTACCGCCTAAAAGATTTTTCTCACCTTTTAAACTTTCCCTAGACTTCCACGAACCTATCAAGACCAAAATTAGCCAAATCAGTTCAGCCGTTCTCGAGTTTTAGCGAGACTAACGAAAAGAAATTCATTTTTATTTATTTATATAGATTATTACGCAAGTATTTGATGACCTGGGTGCAGTAAAGTATCCATCGCGTTAACGTAAAAAATCACGCAATAGGCACTCTTATAACGTAACACTTAACATCACGCCTTTTATCCCCGAAACGGTAGTATAGGCAGAGGTGCACATTACGGCACTTAAAGCCACTGTACTTAACAGTCACTTTTCACTATTTATGTTATGACTCCCATGTAATAGGGGGTGAGCCGACTGCCATAAACCGGGCACATTTCCAGACTCCGTGCTATTACTAAGATTTTTTTAAATCAGTTACACTTTGCCGACCAAGAATTTGAACCAGATACCCCTTGCCCGGCAGTTGGACTTGCGACCACTCGCCAACGAGGCAGTCACTCTTTAGGATAGGGAGAAATTCGTCCCGATATATTTAAATTGAGAAAATACTCATCTATAGGTCACTACAATAACTTACGTACTAACTACGTAACGTAAATTTTTGTAATAATGAACTTTGGAACAGTGCTCGGTAGGTGGTCAACAAGAGGTTCAACTCCGATTAATTACATTCTCCTAATTAGGTACTCGCCTGCCATGTGTGGTAGATAGGTGCTAGTTTTCACTTCCCGCGTTGGATTTATGCAGGAAACAGAAGCCTAAGGGCATAAAAGAGACTGCATGACTAGGAGAATTCTAGTCGCCGAGCACCACGAAAAATTTGACTAAAAACTAAATGGGTGAGCTGTTATTTTTTTTGAATGGTACAAGCCCGCCACAACCTCTCAAAAACCGCTGCAACGCCTGTAAGCCAGGATCTACAGTAGATACAACCATAAAAACATCGGAACACTGAAGTCCGGCGCGTCACAGGGACTTGAATAACTGTCTTGGTTCCCGTAATGAAGAGAATCGGAAGATACTATAAGACAAGAAAAAAATATACTTTCCACTTTCCCCGGTGAAATACTGCAGGAGACACAATGTGATCTGTTGTACTTGCTTCCAATAATAAATTATTGATTCTAAATTATAGGTGTTTCAATTTAAATTACAGGTATTCAAATAGGTATTAGATACACAGGTATTCAAATAGGTAATAATAGGTAATACGTATCCCCTCGGTAATTACCATATTAGGTACTTCATTTATTTAGCAAAACAAGGATAATTCCACAGCACGTCACATTTAAAGAAAACGTCAGGACAAGGAAAAAGTACCGATTTCAAAATATCACGTAAGACTTTGTCATGTCGGTTTAGTGTAGTGGAGTTTAGAATACATGAAAATTGTGTTGTACAACGTGATATCTTTCATGGGGTATATTTTTGGGGGTAAGGTGGAAAATGTTGGGTTTTTTTAAGGAGGGAAAATGATCTAATGACTTCTCCCGTCTGGGTGAGGCGGGAGGGAGTGTCAGACTGTTACTGACTAAAAACCACCCCGTTCCTTCTCCTGCACTACTAGCCGGAGCCCCGGTTAGGTTCCGTTAGGTCCTCCGCGATTCCGAATCGGCATCAGCCCTATTGGGCCCCATCCGTGGTGGTCTGATGACTCTTTGAGGCGCGCACGGAATGCGACGCGCTGTACGCTCGGGAAAATGATGGCATAGAATGAGATGTACTTAAAACCCACTTTTCGCCAGAATGTCTTGCGGTTGTATTCATTGGGGGAGGCCTGTGCATCAGATGATGATGATGATGTTACAGTTTCAGTGTGATCAGTGACGTTACTATACCTTTCGGGGTCTGTGGTAAATTCATCGGATAGCCCCCGTTCCCAATACAAAACAGAGAAGTTCAGATAAAAACCTCTTTGGTCCCCTTCAGCTGTGCCGTGGCATTTTACTAACTTGCCACCCTGTAATTGCGCCACTGATTGTGATAGACGACGAATTCATTTTCATATTTCAGGCCCCATTCCTTGTTGTTGACGAAAATTTCAAAAAAAGAATAAATGTTTGTTATTTTACTGGCCCAGGAATCAATTCTGAGAGGGACTGTATCAGTTAAAGTCACAGCCATCATACCAGCATGGCAGAAAGGTAACAGAACACAGTTTTCTATAGGAATAAGGAAAAAATTAACAAAAAGGTTGTTCCTTCAATTTATTTGAGTACAGTCCGTCTTATCAGAATTTATTTGTTGATTCGTGGTTTCACTGTCAGCGGAAAATACATGTCTATAAATAAAGTAATTAATTGCAAATCGCTTATAGGAAATGTATGTCATTATCTCTGTACCATATAAGTATTCATGTTCTATAAAAGTTCCATAGAACTGTCGAGCACGAAGTTCGCCTGATTCGATTCCCTAACGAAGATTTTACGTATAGATACAATTCTCCTAACTGATGGACTAGTTTTAGATAAGGCAGATGTGCTGTTGACAAACGTTTGCATACAAGATATAGGCGTTAATATAAATGTCATAATATAAATTACTCAAAGGAAATATACATAATTAATATGGTAAAACGCATGTGTGATGAGCATTCCGTAAAAGGGAGTGAGATTCCATGGAATGGAATAGTGTGCAATACCTATATTGCATTATATGATCCATTTTAATCTTACTAAACGATTTCTTATATTGTTTATGGTTCTTATTATAAAGATTTTTACGAAATGTACTCATAGAAGTTTGAAGTTTAAGTGTGGGAGAGCCATGCTTCGGCGCGAATGGGCCGGCTCGACCGGAGAGATACCACGGCTTCACAGAAAACCGACGTGAAGCAACGCTTGTGTTGTGTATCGTCATGTGAGAAAGGTTACTGTAGGCCCAATTAATCTCCTCCTCAATCTCTTCAATCCCCGAATCGCCAACAATCCCCTAAAGGCCGGTAACGCCTCTGGTGTTTCATGTGTTCATGGGCGGTGATGATTGCTCACCATATCTGTCAGATGGTTTACCGGTTTATTCCACAAAAAAAAACAGAATAATAATTAACTACAGGACGAGTTCTCTTGAGCCAGTCAGTAATACGGTAGTGAATAAAATTCAATCAGTACTTAAGTATCTAAACTTAAATGATTATTTTGTCGCGGAGAACCTAACGAGTAACCGGGGCTCCGGCTCGACGTGCAGGAGAAGGAACGGGGTGGTTTTTAGTCAGTAAGAGTCTGACACTCCCTCCCGCCTCACCCAGGCGGGAGCAGTCATTGGATGATTTGCCCCCTTTAAAAAAAAGATTATTTTCAATGTCAGGTATTTGCAATGTCGATTTGTATTTAACCTGTATTTAAAAATTTAAACTGTCAAACACCAAGCGGTCACCGGTGACCGCAACCTATTGTTCTATAATTGTGTCTACAAAACCGGTACTCGACGAGTTAATAGTAATCTCTATAACATACAGTTAAAACTAAATATTTAATATAACTTTACGGTCTAGGGTTCCGATCTGTTGTACAATAATTAGATTGTAATAAAATAAAATTTATGAAAAATTCGCGTTAATAATAAACCTACTACTGAAATGTCAAGATTGATTAAGAGGCACTATTAACCTACTTATAGATTAAATATTATTATTAAAGTGGAACTGTAAACTATGGTTTTAATCTTAGTAATATGTCGGTACTGTTAGGAGATGACGACGGGATACAATAAAAACGTGCCTACCTTTTTGAGAATAACTAAGAAGTGTATCAAGTCTCTAAACCTTGGGGGCCATACCATCATTGTCTTTAAGAGGTTCCTCCAAGTAGACCGACACCGTATTCATTAGCAACTTCATAAAAACGCTCGTCAAATGTCTAACAAGCCTAGCGTAGCGATTAGCGAGTTCACTTGCAAATCCGCGCGCACTGGCACCACGTCGACAGAAACGTTCAGTTGAGTATATAAACATAAAATAACATTCCGCCGTATTATTCAGTACAAGACACTTGCAGTAAATGGCTAATTAATTCCTATATTAAGTAAATAAATAATAAAGTCCCTATTGAACATAAGTACGATAAAAATTTGTTCAAAAAATTGTGTGATTCGACTTGACTTTTAAAAAATGTCGAAAGTGTTTTTCTATTCTTGTCTAATTGGTTTGTTTTTGGATGTTTCCAAGGGTTGGGTTATAAATGATATAAATGCTAAGATGTTGTCAAAAGGATTGTTTTCAAATGAACTCAGTGATGAAGACATTATGATGGCTGAAGCTAGCACCTTGTTCCAACAACGGATCAGTTTAATATTTCCAGGTAAGTTCATACCTCCATATCAGTGGCCGATAGCTTTATGTGATATACAAATTACATTTTACGTCATAAAGTAATTACTTTTTATATTATATTAGCTTCTGCCCGCGACTTCGTACGCGCAGTCCCGTTTTCTCCCGTTCCCGTAGGATTTTCAGCATTTTTTCTGTCGTAAAAACCTTCTCCAGACAATAATAAACACAAAAAAAAGATCAGCCAAATCGGTCTAGCCGTTCTCAAGTTACGGCGTGACAACGGGAAACGGGTTTTATTTTGATACCTATATACCTATAGCTGAAAATATGTTTTCTCTGGAATTACTGGATCGATTTGAAAAACGAATTCAGTGTTGGATAGTCAATTTATCGAGGAAGGCGATAGGCTATGAAACATCACAGTTCGACCAATAGGAGCCAAGCAGAGCGGTTAAACCGTGCGATAGTAGCCAGTCGTATACATACAAGATCTGGTACCTACATTGCGGATATCTAGACTTTGTACAATAGTCCCTAGACCTAGTTGTCAAAAGTAGACTAGAATAGGAATTATAAGAAACAGGAAAATAGTATAAGTTCCATTAAACTGTCAAACACCAAGCGGCCACCGGTGACCGCAACCTATTGTTCTATAATTGTGTCTACAAAACCGGTACTCGACGAGTTAAACTCTCGGATTGACAGTTCCTTATATAATTTCTTTCATCCGTGGCATAATTTCGTTACCGATCATCATAATACATACATACAGATGTATAAATCAAACCGACAGCGGTAGTTAGTTATTTCTTTAATATTTTATATCAGTATTTAAATCCTACTAACAATAAATTACCTACATATAAGCAGTTCGGTTTATAATAATAAAAACAATTTATTAACAATCAAAAATAATAACAAAAAATCGAACAGAAGCTACACGCGCAGTCATAACTTAGACGATTAGATTTTATTAATGTAGTCACAAATACTTACATTTATTATTCATATTATGTTTATTTAAAATTCCCTAAAAATACATTTTTAATTACTAGTTACAAAAATTAAAATATAATTAAATATATATTTAAAAATATAAAAACAGGAGCCGACCAGTAGTGGGAGCATGGTCCCAACTATCGGTAGTTAGGGCTCCAGAGACAGAAACCTGCTCACGATGCGGTTCAAGGAGAACTTCTTTCTGTATCAAGCCCTTGACCCAACCGCCTAATGCCAGCCTCTTCATTATTATTATCCTAACTACAAATTACTAATCCAAATCTTTAAAGTTTTTAACCTTTTTATTACACATTATATACACAACCAACCAATGAAATAGATGTAGTTTTCGGACTACCTAGGCGGAGAAAAGCGTAGCAATTCACATGGGCAAATCAACGGGAAAAATAAAAGTAAAAAAAAAACAACCAGACCCGCTACTGGCTCTATGGCTTCTTTGTACCATCTGATTATATTTTTAAATTGCGTCCAACGGTTTTTATTCAAATCCGGAACTGCAATAAAAAATAGAACAAGGAAACATCGTTCAGCCAACGATCGCCGATTCGGAACTTATTTGATTGAATTAGTTTAACAATGCGAATGCGTTGTTAAAGATACCGTGAATAAACAGTTAATTAGTTTATTAGGTACTTCATCTTTTTACGTTTATATTCCGTGTTTAACTTAGGTTTAAATAGGACGGCTAGTCGAGCCCTTTGTTTGTATAAAGACGTATCTAATATTTACTATTTCGATTACTCAGATGCATATCTATATATATAAAATTCAAAGGTGATTGACTGACTGACTGATTGACTGACTGACATAGTGATCTATCAACGCACAGCCCAAACCGCTGGACAGATTGGGCTAAAATTTGGCATACAGATAGATGTTATGACGTAGGCATTCGCTAAGAAAGGATTTTGATAATTTCCACCCCCAAGGGGGTAAAAAAGGGGATGAAAGTTTGTATGAGACTTTGTCAGTTTTAAACCGATCGGGTTGTAATTTGGCATGCAGATAGATGTTATGACGTAAGCATCCGATGTGAAAGGATTTTGATAATTTCCACCCCCAATGGGGGTAAAATAGGGGATGAAAGTTTGTATGAGACTTTGTCAGTTTTAAACCGATCGGGTTGTAATTTGGCATGCAGATAGATGTTATGACGTAAGCATCCG